TTAAAAATTTCTATTTTTGTAATGAAAAATTAAAAAGTTAATTCCGGCCGGAAATTGTAAACAATTATTACAGCTGTTTTCATTATTCCTGGGACACCTATAAAAAAATTAGCCAAAAAATTTTTCGGCCAGTAATTTAACATTTTATTAACATCTTATAGAAAACTGAAGATGGTACAAGCACTAATTCGGACAAGATAATCATACAATTTTATTTTTTTGAAATTTTTGTACAAGCTACTCTTTAGATCTAATCCTGCTTTTTTCTCACTGATTTTCAAAACACTTGCAACATTTATTCTTTTTTAGTTGGATCTACTATTTCTTGAATTTATTTTACTTTTTACTAGATTACTCATATTATTTTTATCCAAATTAATACTCTGTTTATCTAATCCAAAATACACTACCATTATTGATTACTAGAGTAACACTTGCCCATCTACTCTAGCGAATTCATGCTCTATATATACTTATTAGAAAAAAAAAAACTTAAAAACCCTATGTGTCTATTACTATTTATCCCTAAATTTTTTTCTTTATTTTTGTTTTTTTTTTTCTAATAAATAAATAGAAAAAAATAATATCTGAGTTTAGACAAGTTTGACTAAACATGACAGAGTCTACACTTTTTTTTAAGCCTACGACTACAAATTCGTTTTCTTTAATTCAGAACATTTCTTTTTTTTTTTTTACAAAAATTTTTTTTTAGGATGTCTTTATATTCCTATGTAGAATCTCTTGAAATAGCCTGATTTACCTTTACCCTCTAAATAACCGAATCAATACATCTACATCTTAACTTACTTTCATTTTCGTTTCTAACTAATTTCAAATTTCTTTTTTTTTTTTTTGATTGATTTTTTTTTTTAACTAAACAAAATATAAAATAAAATAAAATCACGATATGTACATACTTCCTCTGTCTGTATCACTCACTCGAATAAACTTTTCTGCTTTTTTTTTTTTTTTAACTGCTTTTAGCTGTTTAGCTATTTTCAAGTTTTAATTTTAAAGTTTACTTCTCTTTTTAGATTAAACCTGTAATTCATAAATAGTAATAGTAATTCTATCTTCCAAAACCCATGCAAAAACCCAAACGTATCTCAAATTTAAAATACCTGCATATGTACGTTGCTGTTTTCGAAATGGTTGAGAATGATAATATTCTCAAAAAAAATACCTGCATATATATGTCGCTGTTTTCAAAATGGTTGAGAATGATAATATTCTCGAAAAAAACCTTTTTTTTTATTTTATGAAATACCTGAATACCCGATTAAATTATAACTATAAAATAGTAATTATCTTTATACTGATAAATAAAAAAATAATAATAATAACCAATTATCTAATTTATTTTATCTTCGATCAAGTTCTAAATTAATCAGGTATTCAAGCATTCGGGTATTCGCAAAGAAAATTTTTTTAAGAATATTTATTCTCACCAATTTCGAAAAAGTGATAAACTAAGAAAATAGTGAGAAAAGAAGTCTAAATATTCTCACCAAACTGAATTTTTTTTTTTTTTTTTTTAATTGTCAACGGGTCTCGCCATGACTATTATAATCCTATTTATTAATATTTATAATAACATAAATATATAAGTTTCAGATGAGTAAGTCTGACTTTACACGGTTCCATATCATGGTGCGAAACCTAACTCAGGCCTATGAGTGACTCTGTCCTACCAGATCACGGATGACTAGAATTATCCAAAAAAAAATTCTATAAAAAACGAAAACGAACTATGACTAAAAAGGGAAATGAGCAAAAGAGGGAAAAGAAAAAAGAGCAAAATAAAAAATAAAAAAAACCCAAAAAATAAAAAAATGAAAAAAAATAAAAAAAATTTTTATAGAACCAGGATAAAATGTAAAGAGGGATTTCACCTCTCTACATAATACGAATGCACTATTATAACCTGCACAAGGCTAAAAAATTATATAACAAATGCAATGATTGTATATCTCTACTATAAAGCTTCGCCTTAACATAAAAAGTTCTTCTGACTTATATTCTCCTTCGGATATCTCTTTAACCGGGGTTCTGATCCGACTTCTGGAGTAGCGCCGTATTTGTAAACAGATACATCACGTGGTTGCATTCTACTGAGTCTGTCCGAATTTGGAAAGTAAACAATGCCGATCTTTTGAAGGGGGTAAGCCAAATCCCCACTTTTTGAAAAAAATTTTGGACGACCAACGGGAAAGCGGAGAAAAGTAATAGATAGCCCACTTGGCTGAATAAAGGAGTGCGGTTTAAAGAAAAGTATATATTTTTAACTGTTCCCCAGTTATTTCCTAGCAGCTCCCTTTGTCGACGGAAGGCTTGGACTTTTCATCTTCACCTTCCACCACCAAACCGAAATTTCTGATAAATATTTGAATTTTAAATATTGTATTTTCAAATCTTATAAAAAAATTTCATACATTTTTCTATTATCGAACCTATTATTTTTTTTTTTTATATGCTGTAATTTTCTTATTACCTTTACCACTGTCACATATTTTTTTTTTTAAATACAAAAAATTTCGATAGTATCAATTAAATATATATATATATATTTTTTTTTCCTTTGATAACCACATACTAAAATTTTATTAAATGTATAACGCTTAATACAAGACCAAGCTATCTAATAGGGTATTAGACTAAAAGCCGGCTGTTTCTCCGAGATGCCCAATTTATGTTATCGCACTGATATTGGCCACTATACCCCACATATGGTGCGCCGTATTTAAAGATATAATATAGCCAGGACTCAGCTTCCACCTCAGGACCTCTTTTCCCTTCTAATTCTTCCTTCTTCTCAAAGGGCATGAGACAAAAGGGGGAAAAGTTTAAACCAAAAAACAAATACGAAAACGACCAAAAAGAAAAACAAACAAAAAAAAAAAAATAACACAAATTTCGAAAAAGAAAAAACATAAAAAGAAAACTAAGATCCTAAAGGCACTATTATAACCTGTGCAAGGTTGGTAAAAATTATATAACAAATGCAACATTTGTATATTTCTCTTGTAAAGGTAAACCTCTACATTAATATTAAAATTTACTTTCCAACCTTCCCACCGAATTCAGATAGCTCTGTTGTCTGAGAACCTATATCAAGGCTCCCTTTCGCCATAATTAGAGTTTCCGGGCCGAGTTCTATGCAGTAGCGCCATATCCGTCCGAAAACAAACACATGGTTGCAATTTACTAGTCTGTCCAAATTTGGAAAGTAAACAATGCCGATCTTTTGGAGGGGGTAAGCCAAATCCCCACATTTTATCGAAATTTTTTGGAAGACCGACAAGGAGATGAGAGAGAGTAAAAGAGGAACCACTTAACCAAATAAAAGAGAGCGGCTTAAGAAAACCATATTTCCTGCTGTTTCCTCTGTATTCTTCTTTGAAGTAACGACCTAAGAGCTTCGTCGACAAAGTTGGGCTTTACCCACCCTTCACCAAAATTTTCTATACAAGGGCACCTCCTGCCAGTTATCTTGTATAAGAACGCTTTTGGCTTGCATGCCGAATATCCCTTTAGAGGAGTCCCGTAAGCAAAACCATTGACCTCTAGACAAACCGCTGCATAGGCCTTGACTCTCCAGCACAAATTATATTTTTCTGTTAGTGGGAATTTTGGTTTTAGTGATCATCGGAAAGAGTTGTATGGACTTTTGGAATTAAATATATATTTATAATTAACATTCATAATTAATTTACCAGTTAAATCGAGTTTCGTGTTTCTAGATTTTCTCAAGCTTCTAAATATTTTTAAATAAAATTATAAATTAGTATCTTTTTATAGACATTCTAGAGAAAATAAAATCAAATATTTGCAAAGCTTTAGTAATAACAGCATGAACAATCACACCTTTTTTGTATCAGAGGAGTACCGATTTCTAAAAATGCGTATAAATAATCTTTAAAAAAACAAGCAAAGAATGCGCAATTTTTTTTTTTAGTTAATAAAAAAAAAAAATTCTAAATAAAATAACGAGTAAACTAAAAAATTTTTTTAAAACTATAATAACTCTTCCAAAAATATCTTTTTTTTTTCATCTTTTAAAATTAATTATGAAAAAAAAAAAAAAAAAAAAACGAAAATAACAATGCTTGCTAAAGTATCGACCCTTTGTTACATTCACAATTGTTTGGATCGGATTACCCAAAATTTTTATCTGAGAGAAATAACTGGAATAATAAAGTCGAAAAATAATAATCTGACTAAAATTTTGTTCTTAAAAATAAAAGCATTTATTCCTGTTGATGAAAGCGTCGAACACTATATAGAATCTTTCGAAGTCGGCAACGTAACATTTATCTGAGGAAAATTCATCGCAGTTGAAAATTATTATATGGTTTGTTCTAATAAGAACCCTCTAATATAACTACCAGAACTATTTAAAAATCAGTATTGATGTATTAGATCATAGCCAGCTTTATGACCAAAAAAAATGTCATAATGTAATAATATGTTATAAAATCGTAATCTACTAATACATCATAGCAGGTCATAGACAATACCATTAACAAAGTTCAGTCCATATTTAATGTGAGTGGGGTCTTCACCTTGAAAATACCCTTACCGTATTATGTACTATAAGGTCATTTTCAAAGCAAAGACCTATATCTTAACAGTACTCATAAATAATTTTAGTAGTTATACTTGACTCATCGCAAAAAAGTTATTATTCATAAGAAAAACTAATGAATTTTTATCTTACGCTATAAGGTCAATGCTACTTCAATTAAAATTACCAACTTGGAATTTGACGATATGCCTGCAATAGGCATGAATGTCTAATTACCGGTTAAACGACGCAAACTGTCAAAATTGAAGGAGAAGATGCAATTTTTAACTTTTATATCGAAGAAAAACTTGGTGAAAAAGATCTGTCTGATTTCTGAGTAGAAGTAAAACACAAGGCAAATAATAATTATCTCGCAAATAGAACAAAGACTATAAACCAAAAAATCCAGTCCACTACTGCTCTCCTCATCGGAACTATGAATTATCATTCTCCTATACCTAATTCTAGTAAAGGAAAACATGTTCTAACATTAAAAAATATCTCCTTACTCTCTTCGAATCTTAGTAATACAAGTTCAAACTTTCAACAAATCAACATCCTCTGGCTGTTCCAAGAAAATAGCTCTGCATGTATGTTCAACAGAACAAATCGCACACCCTGTGAAGCTACACCACGATATCCACGAAGAGGTCGCCCAACATTATCCCAGATGGGTCCAACAACAATACCTACTAGTAATAACCTTCAAGCTGCCTTGGATGCTAACCCCATGCCAAATATAGCTGAACAAAATAATGAAACACATAGTTAAAGTAGTCAAACTGACGAAAGTGCAGACTAACCTATCTAGTCAAATGTCTCGATCTCTCTTTTACTTTCAAAAAGAAAAAAAATTTTTAAAAAAAAAAAAAAAAATTTAAAGAAAAAAAATTTTAAAAAAAAAAAATTAAAAAAAAATTTAACCTAAAAGTATATATACTCTTTTTTCTCTCTCTCCTACACATACACTTAACTTAGCATTAACATTACTGTAACAGGTCTTATCATCTTATAAACAACTTAATACAATAAATCATATAAGATGATAACACTTTTCTTTTTTACAAATTCGCAATTCTATAGTAATACTTTTGTAAATTACATTTAATTACAGTATATTTAAGTACTGTATATTCAATTTATTCGACATTTTTCTATCTTTTTTTGAATAAATATATACTCTAATCCGGGGATCGCTTAATTATCCAGGTTTAACTCGGAAATTATAAAATCTATATATAGACCTTTCAATATATAATTTTTTTTCGTAATAATTTAACTTCTCATTCTTGTCTACATGTCATTGCAAACATTGAACTTCTCTTATCACGTTGTCATTTATTCGTAGTACCATCTTAACCTTATTAATTAGGATTATTCTAAAAAAATTATTCTTTTTGATCTAGAATCGTCATACAACAAGAAATATGCACTAAACTATTTTAGTATACTATGGACAAATTACTTACTATTATATTCCATAAAAGAAGCATAATAAACTTGTTATTTACTGTTATATTCCATAAAAGAAGCGTAATAAATTTGTTTTGCTTTAACTGTTTATATTACACCCAACTCTGAAGTTTGATTGATCAAAAAGTTACAAAAAAAGAACAATTTCTGTTTTCAAAATATGAGCAATTTGTTATAGATGCACTAGAGAAGTTCCGTCGAACTTTTATACCAATAGTGTGAAGAACAACGCTAAGAATTTTTAATGTCGAGAATAGATTATTGCAAAAGGAAATTCTTTCAATGATATCAATGTTGTTATTAAGTTTCATCTTGATTAAGTTTTCCCAAAATATAAAGGAAAGAATCCACTTTTGTCTTTACTTTCTCTTTTAAATAAAAAAAAGAAAATCAGTTTAAACATGTCAATAAATAACTGCGATAAAGCAAGGTCTATTTAAATTGTAATATTTGAACTTTAACAAAGTTTGATTAGTTAAAGTTATGGAAAAGAAACAATTTCTGTTTTCAAAATACAAACGATTTGTTATAGGTGCACTAGAAAAGTTGCAACAAGCTTTTATACCAATAGCGTAAAAAGCAGTGCTAAGAATTTTTAATGTCGAGAATCGATTATTACAAAAGGAAATCTTTTAATGATATTGACATTGTTATTAAGCTTCATCTTAATAAAGTTTTCCCAAAAAATATAAAGAAAAAAATCTATTTACATTTGTCAATGACCTTTGTTTTTACTTTTTCATGTATTATTTTAAATAAAAAAAAAGAAATTAGTTTAAATGTATCAATAAATAACTATAATAAAGTAAAAGTGTATTTAAACTGTAATATTTGACCTTTAGCAAGATTACTAGAACTTAATTCTATAGATTGAAAAATAATATAAAGTCAGTAAACAATAAAGTTCTTGTGTTTAGCTTAATTTCTCAGAACTCTTAAATCTTAAAAATATTTATTTTCTTATTAGTTATGATTACTCCTATCGTCCTATTCCTGCATCTATCTTAATAAATTTGATCGTGTCTCACCCTTAAATACTTTCACATCCATAATATATTTTTATTTTAACTCGTTAAAGCAAGCTTCCTTGTAATTATTTTATTTAGTTAAAGAGAAAAAAATTAAGCCATGACCTATTAGCTTCATAATACTTACATACACAGGTTAAAAGATAAAAAATCAGACACAAATCAGATACCCGATTTTAAACTGATTACTGCCTGATTACCACCTGATTTATGCATATTTTTGTACCAAAAATTTGGTACAAAAATATGTATAAATCAGGTGGTAATCAGGTAGTAATTAGTTTAAAATCGAGTACCTGATTTGTACCTGATTTTTTATCTTTTGACTTGTGATATTCGACAATAAATATGAAACTTTACAAGATTGAACTGTCCACCCCGCCGATAGTTCTAACGTAATATCACATAATACTAATCTCCAGAATCAAAGTATTGATAATACATATTAGAAACCTTCAGAAGATTTCCAGAATTTATATAATAAATTTCAGGATAACATTCTAGCTCAATAGCCTCGAATTGCCTGTGTATATTGCAGAAGGCTTTTATATCCCACAAAAGCTTCTTGGGTGTTATATAATCTATCAATAGTTTATCTTTTACAATTTCATGTGCCTAATGTTACTTTGTCTTTTAATCCTAATCGTAGCCAAATCACTGAGTTAAGAATCCCTACTTGCACTTCTTGTAAGAAAAATTCTACAAGATTCCAATTTCCTTATCTATCGCTAATGCCAAATGAAATTACTTCAGTCCCCTTGCACAGACGAAAATATTTATCGTCCATTTACCTACATTGTTCTTTAGGAAGAACTCTAAATAGTAATCCTTACTCAGAATATAGAAGTTTGACTAGTATCATAAACTACTCATGTAATAGTAGAGCTCATTCATTATATTCCGGAGTTCTAGACGCTTTCTTAGAACCAAACGACAGTAACACAAATAGTTCTGAAAATAATTCCATTTATGATGAAACTTTACATAGTGCTGCTAGCTGGCTAGCCCAAAACAATCCTTACTTATGCTTATTAGCCAACAGTTTATCAGGTAAAACAACCCATGAACATAATGATCCCTTTCCAAGAGCTAGGCATATCCAGACCAATCCCAATACACCAGCCGTCAATCCATGCGACATAGTGATACCAAATTATAACTTCCCAGATAAAGTCCACAACGAAGATTTTTACTATTCTAGGTTAATGACAGGTTTCGTTCAAGAAAGCGATAACTTACATTTACCGATCTCTATATATAATCCAAACTTAGAACATTTATTATTTCCAAATTTATTCACAGATAGAAGAGAACATTTTCATGATGTATTGAATCAATCGCAATCAAATAATGAATCACACGTTGAGATATACGGAAAATACATTAAACAAAGACTAATGAATATCAACTCTAGATGGAGGCTTCACCATCATTGGTCTTCATAGTCTTATCTTCAATTAGAAAAACTAAGACATTACCAAAACATGCAACGCCTAATATATTAAAATAACTCCAATTCAGTTAATAATGAATGTCTTCCATTAGGAAGAGATTTACTCCATCCTAGCGCCTACACATCACACAACATTTTTAATGAAAATATAACAATTCCTGTCCCGTCCTTTGTACATACAGGTAATATTTACTTTTACCAGAAACAACTCCATTTAAATGCCATGTTACAAAAATTCGGATTACCTTCTTTGTTTATAACTCTAAGCATGGCAGAAAGTAAATGGACTCATCTCCGTGATATACTCTGTGATAGTGATAATGGCGATACTTTGCCTACAAACAGACCGTTTCACTGTGCAAATTATTTTGTCTACAGATTTCAGTCTTTAAAAAATGAACTTTATAAAAAACCAAATTTCACAAAATTTGGCGATATCACCAATTTCTTCAATAGAGTAGAGTTTCAAAACAGAGGAGCCGCGCATATACACAGTTGCTACTGAATAACTAATACTATCGAAACCATGATATCGAACAATGTAATAAGATCGACTGTGCCAAACCCTAAACATGAGCCTGAACTTTATACTACCGTTATAGTGAATCAAATACATACCTGCGATGCAAGATGCCAAGGACCAGCAATTCCAATATGTAAAAAAGGGTTTTTCTATCCTTTTAGCGAAACAACTCATTACGAAGAAGGCAACTCCTATTACACTTACAAATGCTTAACCCAAGCCAACTCCTGGGTCGTTCCCTATCATGCCCCAACCTTTTTACTTTGGAACATGCATATAAATACGCAATATATAACCGATAGAGGATTCACACGATATGTTACAAAATATATCACAAAAACTGAACCATCGCACGTATTCAACATATATGAGAATGATCTACTTAGAGAACATGTAATTGCACAATGATTTAGCTCAATAGAACTAATATACTTACTTCTAGGTCATCAAATATGTAATTCTTCTGCTACTGTAAAATTTTTTACCACTGAACCTCCTCTCACAAGAACCTGTACAATACTTCCTGCTTTTATGATAAATAAAGACAACGAAAATCCATATTACGATGACACAATTACAAAGTACATGTCTCGTCTTCATAACCTTGAATTCGATAATTTCACTTACTCTGAATACTTTGAAAAATACTCGATCACTCTCTCACAGCTAGCGCCAATGCAATGCCAAGTTTTTCAGAATGATTTGTCTAATTATGTTGTAAAAAGAACTAAAGAAATATTAACTAGATATTGATTTCTTAAAATTGAAGACAGAGAACTATATTTTTATCAACAACTACTATTAAAACTACCTGCGAGAAACAAATCAGATTATAAAATTAGTCCAGATAGAACGTATCAAGATAAATTTCTTTCTCTTTTCCCTGACTTTTTAGTAAACTTACAAACCCAGACAACAATCGCACAACACTCCTGACTAACGCGTTTGAACAATCAATTTATTCAAATGCTAGATAGGTTGTTCCAGTTATTAAATGAAAAACTCCCAAACAACCTACAACATATCATACAAATTCAGATGGATAACTTAAAAATTCTTCCTCAGGTATTCCAGTTGATAACTATGTTGAAATTACCTAGTGATCAGTATCATGTACTATCAACCATTACCATATACATGGGTCGAGAAAATGGCACTAAATGGCTGTATTACTTTATAACTGGCTTAGCTAAAACAGGAAAGTCTTATATAATAAACATGATCATAAATATGCTTAATAGAAGAAATTCAACATATCTGTTACTAGCTCCTACTGGGGTAGTGGCCCAGAATAT